AACATGGTGAAATCCTGTCTCTACTAAAAATACAAAAATTAGCTGGGCGTGATGTGCACTTGTAATCCTAGCTACTCAGGAGGCCGAGACACGAGAATTGCTTGAACCTGGGAGGTGGAAGGTTGCAGTAAGCTGAGATCATACCACTGCACTCCAGCCTGGGTGACAGAGCAAGACTCTGTCTCCAAACACACACACACACACACACACACACACACACACAGACACACACAGACACACACACACACACACACACACACACAAACAACAAAAAACAACTGATGCTAAATAAGACCATTCCCAGAGTCCTAAAGAAAAAATAGGCTAGGCATGGTGGCTCACACCTGTAATCCCAGCAATTTGGGAGGCTGAGGTGGGCGGATCACTTGAGTTCAGCAGTAGCCAGCCTGAGCAACATAGAGAGACCTTGTATAATTGTGTCTGCTGGTCTGGGAACTGCACTTTGAGAATCACTGGTCTAGACAGGCACCTTAAAAGACATCAACTGGTACATAAAGGGAGCCTTTGTGAGCCAAATTTGGTTCCCGTCCAGGTCTCCCCTCAACAGAGGAGGGGAAAGAGTCCCTTCTGTGGCATTTCACATGGTGGAACTATGTGTTACTCTCCCTTGCGTGTTACTCTCATTCCCTTTGCTTGCATTAAACTGCTTCCCTTTTCCTTTACTGATTATTTGTCATTTCATCCTCTCTCCAGTCTCCTCTAAAAGTGAGTGTTCTCCAGGATCTCGGCTATTTTCACCTTAGCGTTCTGCCCTTCAAGAATCCACCCACTTTCATTATTATTGTGGGAAGTAGAAAAGTTCCTCTTTAAAGTTTCCTTTCTTTCTTTTTTTTTGAGACAGAGCCTTACTGTCACCCAGCCTGGAGTGCAGTGGTGCAATCTAGGCTCACTGCAACCTCCACCTCCCCAGTTCAGGGAATTCTCCTGCCTCAGCCTCCCAAGCAGCTGGGACTACAGGCATATGCCACCATGCCCAGCTAATTTTTTGTATTTTTAGTAGAGACAGGATTTCATCAATTTGGCCAGGCTGGTCTTGAACTCCTGACCTCATGATCCACCCGCCTCAGCCTCCCAAAGTGCTGGGATTACAAGCATGAGCCACCAAGCCTGGCCCAAAAGTTTCCTTCCTTGTTAAATAATAAATTATAAATGTGCTAATAACTCTTTGTTAAGCCCTATCCTATGTAGCTGTTAGACATGCCATGCTTTTAGGCACATAGTACATTCTATGTCCTTGTACTTTAACCAAGATATCTGTGCTGGACATGCTCACAGGCATGTCCCAACTCTCCATTGCTTTTACCTGTTTAGAAAAGCTTTAAGTTGTTAGCAAATCAGGTTTTATTTAGATTGTGAGCTCTGGCTCCAGCCAACAGAGATCAGACAGCAGTAGGGATGACAGCAAGTGCATAAGAGATTAATATGTCTATTTTCCTTTGTTCATTGCATTCTCTGGCAAGATGGCTATCAGGAGTACCCTTCCTGCAAGTGCAGGAAGTAAAAATTGTGTTGCTGAAAGATCCTTTGTCTCAGTGCTCAATTTTCTTTGTAACACTGAGCATCTAGTTCCAACAATCATCCTCATTATCATCATCATCATGATGATATAATAGCTGACATTTATTTCAATTTCCTATGCTTCTGGTAATGTACCAGGACTTTACATAAATGTATCAGTTAGGATGCTGATTTTGGTGAAAATGAGCAGAAAACCCAACTGAAAAAAATAAGGGTTGGTTGTGGTGGTGCATTCCTGTAGCCCCAGTTACTTGGGAGGCCGAGGTGGGAGGATCGCTTGAGCCCAAGACTTCAAGGCTGAAGTGAGCTGTGATCATTGCACTCCAACCTGGGTGACAGAGTAAAACCCTGTCTCAAAAAAAAAAAAAAAATTTATGTCACATACTCAGTAGTCCCAAGCTAGGACAGCTGCAGGGTTGGTTGACTCAACATTGTCTCAACTTGTCATCAAGGCCTCTTTCCTTCTTTCTCGGCCTGTTGGCTTTGTCGTCAGTGTTGAGTCCCTCTTGGTCAGGAGATGGCTGCCATGCTGCAGTCGTCTGCCAGGACATTGCCTCTGTCTTTTTAAGAGCCAGGAAGCCTTTCCTGGAGGCACCATGCAGATCTCCCCCTCACATCTCATTGGCTAGAGTTAACTTGGATGTCCACTTCCAATTGCAAAGAGAATGGGATTCACATGTTGGTTACCCCAGAGTTGGGGTGGGTCACCTTCTCTGAGTACTTGGCTGTCATTTGGACAGAGCTGGCAGTCTGCTGCAGGGAAGGAGAAGGGAAGCTGGTATTGAGTGATCAATCAACAGCCGTGCTCTGGTTATCCACTGCTGTGTAACTACCATGACAAACTTGATGAAAACAACATCCCTTATCAGTTCCATGTGAATGTCTGAATGTAACTTTACAGCCTGTGTATTTTAAACCATGTTTATCTCTTGTTTCTCAAAACCAGCTCTCCCCTGTGTGGGGGAACAGCGCTACCACCACATCATAGAGACCTTGCACGTACCCACTTAGGCAGACTCTTGGCAAAATGCCTCATGATCTTCCTGGATATGGGAGGCTGGGAGGCCTGTGTACAGAGCCACTGTAAGGCGATCTTCTGTTTGCCTCCTTCTCTCTCCTGGGAAGCTGCCATGAGACAGTTTCTCATCTCTTAGGGCTTCTGGTGATGCGGAGGCTTTCTGTCCTGGCTTCCTCAAAATAGAGCTTCTAGGATTAGCTCCTCAGCAACGGGGTATTCCACAACTCACACTGCAGTCATGGGGGTCTTTGTTTTGGTGTCATATACTTCTTGGTATGTGGACAAAGATCACAGGAAGCTGGCACCTTTTGGCTTATTCTTTTTGCTGTCTACGTAAGTTAACAAACTGTCTAAATCTCAAAGTGGCTCCTTGTAACTTGACTGGTTGACTCAGAACATGGTTTTGGCCTTGACACCCGGAACCTCCACACTTCTATCATCAGCAGAGTGTACACAATAAATATTCATTGAACACATTCGTTCTTCCAAGGCTGAAAATCTTGAGAGATCTCTTACCCCTTTCCCCTAGGTATCCTACATCTTGTCCCATCAATTCTTCCTGTGTGAATGTTCTCATTTCTGCCTCTACTTCTATCAAATAGCTTTCCCGTTTCTAATCCTTCTGCCTTACAACTCATCTTCCACATGGTTCCTAGAGTAATCTTAAAATGCCATTTTTGTACATGGCACCCTAAAGTTCACAGTTCACAGACTTACGGCATGCTTTAGCTTCTTTCATGAGATGGAGTTTCGCCCGTCACCCAGGCTGGAGTGCAATGGCATGGTCTCAGCTCACTGCAACCTCTGATTCCCAGGTTCAAGTGATTCTCCCGCTTCAGCCTCCCAATTAGCTGGGACTACAGGCGCATGCCACCACACCTGGCTAATTTTTGTATTTTTAGTAGAGATGGGGTTTCACCATGTTGGCCAGGCTGGTTTTGAACTCCTGACCTCGTGATCTGCCCTGCCTCACTAGTGATCAGCCTGCCTGTGCTGGGATTACAGGCGTAAGTCACTGCGCCCAGCCTCCAACTCCAAATTTAAACCATAACCATTCGACCTGGCAATGTGCAAATGCAGATGTGACAAAAAATCACTATGGCATTCTTGTCACCCCCAACTGGTGGAAAATGAGATTCGCTTTGCACCTTTCTCTCAGTAATACTGGATTGTTACTTTGAGATGGAGTTTCACTCTTGTCGCCCAGGCGTGATCTTGGCTCACTGAAACCTCCATCTCCCGAGTTCAAGCGATTCTCCTGCCTCAGCCTCCCAAGTGGCTGGGATTACAGGTGCCTGCCACCACACCTAGCTAATTTTTTTGTATTTTTAGTGGAGATGGGGTTTCACCATGTTGGCCAGGCTGGTCTCAAACTCCTGACCTCAGGTGATCCGCCTGCCTCGGCCTCCCATTGTGCTGGGATTACAGGTGTTAGCCACTGCACCCGGCCGGATTGTTCATCTTGAATGGCAAATATATAAAGGTTTTTTTCCACCTAAATGACTGGAACATTTGGACTATGTCCTACCTAAAATGACCAGATGACTCTTTAAATGTTAATCAAATTCTGAACCTCAGGTCACTTGTACATAAAGTGAGCCCTCAGAAACAAGCCTCCTGAGTGATCTCCCAAACTCAATCATACAAAGGGCTTGCAGATTACATTCTTTCGTAACAGCTTTCTCCTCAGCATGGAGTCTCTGAATTGAAAAAATTACTTATTAATATTTCAGCAACTCTTGAAAAAAATTTTAGTGATATTTATGAATTTTCTTCAAGCAGTACAGTACGAGATAATTTCACCTCAGCAATACCCCAAAATAGAGGAGTTATTGACACTTTAGCTGCTCAGCAGTGAGCCTGTGCTTGAATTGGTGAGAAGTGGTGTTTTTATGTTAATAAAACCTAATAGTGTTTTGTAATATTTGATATTGTTGGCCAAAATTTAAAAGATCCTCAAGAATACAAGGTTTTTATCTCATTAGCACTGCCTCCCTTTGATATTTCAGTTGGTTACATCTTGGCTCCTGGGAATCTTTTCTCGGGGTATTTTTCAATCCTTTGCTATTATTCTCCTTGTAGTTACTGTGTTCACCCATACACAGTGGGTGGCCATACACAATGGCTTACCCAACACAGTGCATTGTATTCTCTCAATGCTTTTTAATTTTTTTTAGCGACAGTGTCTTCCTCTGTCACCAAGGCAGGAATGCAGTGGTGCAATCATAGCTCACTGGACTTGGAACTCCTGAGCTAAAGTGATCCTCCCACCGTGGTCTCCTGAGTAGCTGGGATTACAGGTGTGTGCCACCATTCTCAGCTAATTTTTTTTCCTCCCAACTTAGAAAGTTTATTTTACCAAGATTAAGGACGTGCCATGACATGGCTTCAGGTCTTGATGACATGTACCCAAGGTGACCAGGGTACAACTTGCTTTTATAAGTAAAATATGGACAATTTCACGAATTTGCATGCCATCCCTCTTCAGGGGACATGCTAATCTTCTCTGTATTGTTCTAACTTTAGTGTTATGTGCTGCTGTGGTAAGCACTGCCTAGCTAACTTATATTTTTTTGGGATGGGGTCTCTGTCACCAACGTTGGAGTGCTGTGGCACAATCATGGCTCATTGCAACTTCTGCCTCTCAGGCCCAAGTGATCCTACCTCAGCCTCCTGAGTAGCTGCGACCAGAGGTGTGTGCCACCATGCCTGGCTAATTTTTTGTTGTTTTTGGTAGAGACAGGGTTTCATTATGTTGCTTAGGCTGGTCTGGAACTCCTGAGCTCTAACAACCCATCTGCCTTGGCCTCCCACAGTGCTGGGATTATAGGTGTGAACCTCCATGCCCAGTCCTGCCCAGGTCACTAAACATATGCCTCTTTTTTTGTAGACATGGGGTCTTGTTACATTGTCCACCTGGTCTTGAACTCCTGCTCAAGCAATTCTACTTTGCCCTCCAAAGTTCTGGGATTACAGGTGTTATCCACAGAGCCTGGTCGTTTCAAGGATATTAAATGCTTTCCAGCAGTCACTTGCATGTCAGAAGACTGCCGTAAGGATCAGACAGTTGGAGGAAACCAGCATGGACTGTCACTGATGAGGGTTACTCTGAGCCCTAGTGCAGCTACTGGTAACATCTGACTCTTCCTCCCAGACCGTGTGGATAGTGGTAACTGAGAGTGATGCTACGCCATTTGGTCACATTCTCAGCTTGCTGACAGGGTTGACTAAAAGCAGGGAATTGCCAAAGCAAAATTAAAATGAAAACTAGGCTTCAAACGTTCCCGAGCCAATAAACCAACTAGGCCTTAAAAATAGCCCTAACCTACTGACACTGTAAACGTAAATGAAACTTAACTTGGGACCTTTTTGGTAAATGCTTATGTTAGAAACAAAACTTAACCTCAGCCAATCAGAAGCAGCCAACTAATATGATCATGAGACTGGGGACTTTCCAACAAAGTAAGCCAAAAAAGGGAACCAATGAAATCGCTTCTTCATTTTGCTTCTGTATCCACTCTACGAATACTTGCCTCTGATGTTGTCATCGAAACACCAAATCCTGAGTTTGGTGTTTCCCAATTCAATAATTGCTTCTTACTCAAATACATTCTAAACTTTTATTGTGCCTGCTTTTTTTTTTCTTTTACAATAGTCCATGTGTAATACTTTCAGCTCACCAAGATCTCCAAATTCCTTCCATGAGTAATTTTTTGGTATGTGATGTTTTCTTGCACAGGGAATCCCTCAGAGGGCCGCACTAGCATTCCTAGTGCTCAGAACAATGACACATCTGCCAGTATTTAACACTTTTAAAAATACTGTTGTTGGTGGCTGAGTTCATGATGAAAGGCAGTAGGGAGGATGACCTGGGTTCAATCTGTAGCTCTCAGTTCTCAATGTATAAAATGGGGCCCATAATGTCTCCCTCACACAAATACAGATTATAGCACAGAAAGTAAAAGCATGTAACATTTCAGTGTACAAATAAATGTGCGAAGCTGTTTAAGAAGTCCAAACATGGAATCATTACGGGTAAGACAGCCGCCTTGTGAACTTCAGCAGTTAACATAGCCATATTCTCATGCATGTAAATTAAGGGGCATGACACTTGGCACTGTCTGTTTAAAAGAATGCAGGCTAGTGATCAAATGACTTTTTATTACAAAAAATTTATAAAAATGGACTTCCAGGTAAAGATGACAGAATAAAGCAGGACTACAGAATCATCTTCCTCTAATGCCTAATAAAACGAATAAAAGATGTTACATGCCACAAAAAAATTTTTTTCATATCATTACTGATACATCACAAATCTTTATGCAAACCCAGATGGAAGGAAACACATAGTTCTGCCATGTATATTAAGATGCATTCACTCTCCCACCCTAATAACAATCATGTTACCTTATGGTAGGCAGTAATTAGTTGCCAACCAATACTTAAAAATCAGATTTCATATATTCTAAATTTCTATCTTTTCTAGAAAAATAAATTCTGTTCACACTAGGCCTGCTTCCCAGCAATCATGTGCTCTGGTTCACCAAAGTCTCCACAGCTCTTCCCTTCATCACTTGCCTAGCTCCTGTAAACATATGCAACCCCTAGGTGACCATTAATTCCCACTCTTAAAGAAAATTTGAGGTTCAGGAAGAACAAGTAATTGCCCAGTGTTAAATTACGGTGGTGGAGGCTGGGTCCAATTCAGATGTTTCAAATAAATTCTGCATTTTTCCATATTCTACCAACTGAAAATAAGGTGAATTCAACAACTTAATCCCATTTACTGCTCTGCTCTGCCAGGAGCCAGTTTATATGCGTGAGAATGAATGTTTCTCCTAACATTCATTTGTATTATTCTGTGCTCTTAGGCTACAAAGGCCATGCAATATGAATTTTTTATTCTTTCTGTCCAAAAGTATGTGACTCCACACTGGCTACATAGTATGTTTGCCCGACTGTATACCAAGAACCATTTTCTGGGACATTAAGTCAAAGCCGTTTATTTTATCTCGTGGTGTGTCAAAAAACAACACAGTATCATACTTAAGTGCTGTACTGCTGTACTTTTAATTTTATTAAAAAACACGCAAGTATCTTCAACATATCAAATGCTTTAATTCACATTTGTGCCTTCAGGCACTGACCACAAAAATACAGACCCAACACAACAAAAACAATTGACACAGGGTAATTAAGTGGTAGGTACACAGGACTGTGGTGGGCAGGGGAAAGTACAAGGGGCCAGCTGGCTGCGCAAGTGGAGTTATCGCATGTGCCCTCAGCGCTGTGGGTTTAGGAATCCACTGCAGTCAGTTCACTTCTAAGAGGACTGGGGTTGAGGACTCGAGCTAGGCTGATCTAAACTTATACAGAATTATAAAGGAGAGTGCCAATTTATCTGTAGGGTTCATTAAAGCAGTTCAAATCTGAAAGACTGCTGGCAGAGCCCTGAACTGGATTGAGAGCAAGTGTTTTTAAAAGCCATCATCATCCAACTCCACCAAATGCCTGCCTTACTCTAGGGTTTTTCTCAGCCAAACCTACTCATCTGATCAGGACGTCCTCTTGCCTGGACAATGTCAGAGGAACAAGGAAAACAACTTAGCTTTCCAGCTCTTCCTTTTCAACATTCCGTGTCAGTCACTAAAAAAGTAACACGTAAGGGAAATTCTCTAGATTACAGCTTATTTCCTGTTTAGTGAATTCTGTGTTGATGTTATCCTTTAACGGTGAGGTAGGTAGCTCAGGGCATCCTTAGAGAGACGGAAGTGTGCTTGGTCTGATGTCTGATACAGCAACACATTTTTTTAAAAATTGAGACGGAGTTTTGCTCTGTCGCCCAGGCTGGTGTACAGTGGTGTGATCTCGGCTCACTGCAACCTCTGCCACCAGGGTTAAAGCGATTCTTGTGCCTCAGCCTCCTGAATAGCTGGGACTACAGGCATGGGCCACTGTGCCCAGCTAATCTTTTTTAAAAAAAATTTTTAGTAGAGATGGGGTTTCACCATGTTGGCCAGCCTGGTCTCCAACTCCTAACCTCAGGTGATCCGCCTGCCTCGGCCTCCCCAGGTGCTAGGATTACAGGTGGGAGCCACTGTGCCTGGCCTCAGCAATACATTTCTATTTACAGTTTCTAGGTGATTTATTTTCTGCAGACATTCTCGCAGATGGGTAAGTTCAATCATTTTCATTTAAGTTTTGTAAAAGTCTGTATTAGAGGATGACATTTTAAAATTATTTCCACAGAACCCTGGAATGTACCTTTTTGGTATCTGCAAGCCTCATGCACTGACTACAGAGTCAGGGCAAGGTGGGTAAATAGATATGTATGTATGTGTATGTATATTTACATGTCTAAAATTAACTAAATACACAGATAATATACTTAAATTAGAAACACAAGGAATGAAGGCTAAGTTCAGTGCTTTACTATTCAATAAAATAGCTTTAAAAACTGTGAAATAGGGCCGGGTGCGGTGGCTCAAGCCTGTAATCCCAGCACTTTGGGAGGCAGAGGCGGGTGGATCACGAGGCCGAGAGATCGAGGCCATCCTGGTCAACACGGTGAAACCCCGTCTCTACTAAAAATACAAAAAATTAGCTGGGCATGGTGGCACGTGCCTGTAATCCCAGCTACTCAGGAGGCTGAGGCAGGAGAATTGCCTGAACCCAGGAGGCGGAGGTTGCGGTGAGCCGAGATCGCGCCATTGCACTCCAGCCTGGGTAACAAGAGCAAAACTCCGTCTCAAAACAAAACAAAACAAAACAAAACACAAAACTGTGAAATAGCCAAGTGGCCACATTCTAAGCAGCAACGGAGACCTCCAAAATATTCTGTTCATCAAAAAAAACATGAAGTTTCTGAATATGTAAAAATTAGTAGAAAATCAATTAGGTGACAGTCAGTCACTATAGTAGTGGCTTTCAAACCCTTTTTAAAAAATAGAAGCATTTTAAATGTGGAAACATTTTATCTACTGAGATCTGAAGCAGCAACTCAGTATACACAAGTGTGGCTGCACTGACTGAAGTGAGAAGGCAGGAGCCTCCATGGCTCGCTGCCCCTTGGAGGCGCATTGCACTAGCTCCTGAAGCAACTCCTTGTCCTTCAACACTGCACAGAAAACAAAGAAACAAACAAACACACAAACAAATAACAAATACTGCATGGGTCGCAGTCCAAAAACTGATCCCATGTACAAATCATACCAATTTTTATGTAATAGAGTTCAGACAAATATATCAATTTGGGTATGATACAAACAAGTTTTTCACAGAGTTCTTTTAGAAAAGTGATTTTGGGGACAGTGGAGTAGAAGAAAAACAATTTTAATTCAATTTTTTGGCATGGTATCCCACCTGGCGAAAGCCCTAGGTGAATATATGAGGTTCAGACCAGAAGCTTTCAAATTTCAGTATGCTTAAGAATCGCCTGAGGTGCTTGTGAATGAAAAGAGGTTTCTATGTTGCATCTCCAGAGACAGAGAATCTTTAAGTCAAAGGCTGGGCTCAGGAATCCATGCTTTCAACAGCCTGCCCATGCATTCTGATGCTGCAGAGCATACTCGTGCAGCTCGTATTCCTGCAGAGCATACTTCTGCAAAGCGTACTCCAAGAAACAGGTAGAGAAAGGCTTCAAGGGAAAAATTGAAAAAGGCAAGGGCACACTTTTTAAAAGAAAAATCCAAACCACCTTTTCTGTCTTGTTGCTGAGAATGAATTCAGATAGGGATAAACAACATCAAAAAAATTTTAAATATCTACATATTTTAAATAAATCTATATTCCACTGTCCTCAATCGGGTAGAAATATTTAAAAAATTCTCAATATAAAACGCTGGTTCTTGCTTCAATATTACCATTTTGAAGGAAAACCACACAAACTATTACCCATTCTAATGACCTTTTTGGCCAAACAAATTACATATTTGGGTCCACATTAATCTGTAAATTAGTATAACCTTTAAAGTTTTCAAGTTAGTGCAAATTTAAAATTCAATAAATACATTAAATACAATTTTAGTTTATATTACAAATGCAAATTATTTTTCTTTTGACATGCTGGTAGTACTCATTTTTACAATGCAAATGGACTTTACAATTTCTGAGTCATAGTATACTTTATGACTCTAAGCAAATATATTTAACAAAGCAAACACTATATTTTTGAAACACTCTAAAAAAATAAAAATAAATAATTTTGACTATAAAATTTGTATAAACATTAGCTACATTAGGGGTTTACAGCTGATTTGTTGCAGAAAACCTAAAACACATTTAAATCATGTAATCTTACTAGTAGACAACTTGTATTTTAAAACAAGTCAGTTTGATTTCTATTCAACATGACAAAGCACTGAAAATTATCATCATCTGCCTATGGGATCTGTAAGAGCTGCCAGGTATTCAGTATTTAAGCCACTAAGTTTATAGGAGTTAGGAATGTATTGGGATAGTAAAAAGATGAGAGAAATCTGGAAACAGACATGGAGATATGATTTAGTTCATGTATTTCTTCCTGAGAATGTAGAATTTTTTTTTTTTAAATATCAAGACAATTTAAAATGGAACAGGAAAATCTTATGGCAATTTTTTTGGTAAAGTATAGAATCCCTGGTAATATAAACAATCACTACTCTAATAAGTAACTTGCAAACATGAAGTCTTACAAATTGTACTTATTTAAACAAGGCACATGCCTCTACATTTATTTGAAATGCTGGGTCAATGTGCCCAAAAAAGTAATTTTGCAAAAACAAGATAGTGATATGTTTTATGATATGCTATTCTGAAATAGCTTCCCTAAAAGAAGTCTAAATGAGTGAATAAGCCAGCAGAAAAACTCCATGACAATCAATAGTGATGTAAAAACATCACTAGATTATGATAACCAAAAAATCAATTTGTTTAAATAAATGAGAACATTGTATATAAGCCTGTTCTAAATACGGTGTAATATTATGGCTAATATTAAAATTTTAATTGTAGTTTTAGCAATTAAAAGAAACTATATTATTGTGATTATTTTAATTTCAACATCCTAAATTGATTATTTACTTTGCTTCTACAATTAGCACTATGAATTATATAACAGGTAAACTATAACCTACAGCAAAGTGAATTTCATAGTGTATTTATAAAATGTGGTATCTTTAACAATTGTGAACATAAATGAAAGAATAAAGTTCATAACACTCACAACATGATTGGCTCATTAAAAAAACCCAAAAACTCTGCCATCCCCACTGCCATGGTTACCTACCATGAAAGGTAGGTATAAGTAAGTTCAAAAGAGATCTGCTCACAAAGTTTCTCAAGACTAGAATTTAAGATCACTCACTGAGATCTGGAAGAGGCTAATTTAGCAAAATAAAGTATTTCATAAAACGTACTGACTACTGTATACATTACTGAGTTGCTCTCTGAAAACATGGTCTGGGTCTAAAGTGAGGCCAACTTAGGTATATGGCAATTCACAGATGACAGATTCATAGCAGACCCTCAAAGACAGCTAATGGTGCTTTGGGGGATACATTCCGATCTTTCAGAGATTACTGTCATTAAAGACCACAGCACCTACAAATGGGCCATCTGTCAGAAAAACACAGGCTGGATACCCACTGGGTCTGCCTACCTGTGGGACATGAAGGGATGGACTGGTCAACAGCAGTGAAAGAGCACCCTCTAATGGGAACCATGAAACTAGCCGTTCAGTAAGTTTGTGGCAGTTGAGGGGCCAATGAAACAATGAAACAAAGTTTTCAGTTATCTAAAAGTAGCTCCCTAGTGCTTTTTATGTCCTCCTCCTTTTTGCAAAACAATGAGGAATGAGAATATCTAGGTATCTGTCAGGAGAATTAAATTAGGATTTTTATTACTTAATTGGCTAAATTGCTATCTAATTGTGACTAGCAGAATTTATGTATCAATTTAACTTATTAAATAAAGCTACAGAATGTAAACACTAAACACAGGTATCATACCACAAGGTAAATAATAAATACTTTAAACATATATCTCTCATTTTAAAATAAATACGATATAAACATTTTAGCAGAGATTTCTGTCCACTTACCATCCGAAAGGGAAATTCTGTTAAAAGACTACCGTATTTGAAAATACTACAAGACCAATGAATTTTTAAAACTTATCAGTCAGCCTTGAGCTTTTCCTAAGCAATTAATCTCACTGATAAGTTTCCTTTAAGCACATTTTTTAAAGTGTCGACACTGTTTTTTAATAAAAAGAGAAGTTGATGAACTATTCAGCTCAGAACCTGGAACTTACAATCCAAAGTGTTCTGAATCTTATTTCTTACCAGTTAATTTATCTGTTTCTCTTTTGGCTACACTAAAATAGATCCTGAATTTCAGCTCAAATAGTTACCTACAGAGTTAAACAACATTTAGGTGTCTGAATATCTTCCTAAAATAAAAATTATAATGAAAATTTTAAGTGTTATTTTTGTTTACTGTTTTCCTTTTGGGGGTTCCTAGAAACCAATACACACACTTGGTTTGGGTTGTAGAGAATCGTAAGAGGCATGCTGCAGGAGGATGCCCACAATTAACCATGCTGGTTTGACAGTAATTACTTCTTCTCAAAAAATCAAGTTAATTTTTAAAATGTGATGGTGTCACCATCTTAAAAATGAAGATGGAAATGATCTTTCCATCCACACCTTGTTGGAGACATATGTCCATCCAATGTGTGTCCATCAAATGCATGGTTCAAAACTAAGACAGCACATACTTCAGAGTCAGTCCCACTCTCAAAACAGTCATAAAAAAATTTCACTTTCATGTAACTTTTTATGACTTTTCAAAAGTTAATAATATTCATTTGAAGTATTTTGCTGAAAAAGAATAAACACTTGTAAATAACTGGACTCTGGCTGGTTTGGGGATGCTATTTACAAAAATGTATACCCATTATACTACTAGCGAAATTAAGACTGAATGCTGATAGAGATTCTGGTAATACTTTTGGATGAACATCTATCTACTTTGCTTTGAGGATTCTATGCAGTTTTCACTCCCTCATCCATCTATTCAGTCTCCTTTATGTCTTCTTGATCCGAAGTACTAGAGATGTCATCATCTGTTTGTTCTCCAGAGAAATATAACATCATTGCATGTGTCTTGTGAGTTATGGTGACAGTGCAGGGCCCTTGGGCCCAAGGCTCTCCATCCACCTGCATTGGCATCATGGAGCACTTCAAAATCAGCTGATATTAGGGAACAAATAATGTTTACAAGTCAGTCCTCCAACATTTAGAAAGGTCTTCCTTAATAATACCATCTACAATCCCTTAACCCTTATGCATTTCATTTTTAGAAAATATTAATCTGAATATGTTTTTATTCATTGATTGTTTAAGGAATTGTTTTTCAAGTGAATGTTTTATCTAATGGTTCTTGAGCCATATTTCTGTTTCTTCCTCATCCCACTCAAGTCTCTGGTGTAGACTGACCAGCTGCAACAGCCATAAACCATTGTTTAAAGAGTTATAGCATGTATACTTTACACATCAACAGCTTAGAAACGGACTGGGACAAATTAGCCTGTTACAGCTATATTTTTCACCTACCCTCACTGTATGTGCCTGTCCTATTCGAAAAGGATTCGCCAGTTTCACTTGAATCTGAGCACAGTGGAAAGACCCATATACTCCAACAACTTCCAGCAGACCATCATCATGCCTAAAATTGGAAAAAGAAAATATGGATTATATGATACAATAAAATAAAATCAGTTAAGCTAGAGCAATTGCCTTTTAATGCAGTTGGACCATCAACTTTAAAATATTTATAACTAATGAGATATACAAAAAAGAAAATTTGAGGAAAAACGTTAAAGTATATAAACAAAGAGATTGCTTTAAATAAAATAGTGACATGAAAAAACAGACTACAAATGTACATACCTGGCTAGAGGGTAAGTCTCGTCCCCCATCCCTTCCCATAGTCTGCAGCCACCGCCCCAGTATCCAATGTTCAGAACTATAATACCTTCCAAGTTGGGCAGTGCTACTCGCTCACCATCCAGTTCTAGCTTTAAAGAAATACAAATAGATAGTGACTACAGGGAACACTATTTCCATACATATCTATTTAGAATTCACATCCATTTTCATAAATGTGCTTATGTGAGAGGGATGCACATGTAGAAGACACTCCCTACCTCTCACTCAGGGCCTCTCATTTGGCCTTTTCTATCTCCCCAGTGGAACTGCTTCTATCAACATCAATAACGTCCTTTCTGTTGAGCCCCATGATTTTTTAGGCCTTATCTAACCTGCTGTTTCAGTAGCACCTCACACTTGTTGACTCCCTTCCTCTTTTTCCTAAAATCTTCTTCCCTTTGCTTCATGGAAACCACAGACTCTTGCTTCCCTGGATGTTCATTCTCAGGAAAGTAAACTGGGCCAGATCCATCTCTCCACTGCCTACAAAATGTGTCCACTGACAGGCACCAAAAACTCCTATGTAAAAAACTGATCAAGCAACTTGTTCTGCAATTCGCTCTCTGTTCTCCAACGTACTTTCCAGGAAAGAGTAACAGTCTTCCCCTCCTCCTCTTAGCTAACTCCTACTTACTCTTTCCTGGTAAGTAGGTTACTCACCCCCCCAACCCAACTGTTTAAGCCAGAAACCTGGGAGTTATCTTTGATTTCTTTGAATTTACCCTCCACATTCACTTAACCACTAAAAAACAGCTGATGCTATTTCAGTCTTCTCTCCACAATTTCTTCCCTAAAATGTTCCTATCTGGTCTATCTGCCTCTAGCTTTACTTTCCTATGCATCCCTCACAGAGCAGTCAGATTGACACTTAAAAAATGCAAATATGTCATCCTCTAATTACAATCCTTCAATGGCTTCACTTCAACCCTTCAATGCCCATGATGAAATCCAAGCTCTAATACCAGGCAAATATGACACTGTGATTTGACATCTGTCCATCTCTCTAGCCTCAGCTCTTACCACTTTCCTTCCTGAAAGCTATGCTCCAGCTTGAACTCACTCAAATATACCACGTGTGCCTCTGGGCCTTTTGCACATGCTGTTTTTAGTCTACAGCAATCTTCCCCTCCTCCTCCTCTTAGCTAACTCTTACTTATTTTCAGATTCCAGCTTGTCACTTCTTCCAGAAAGACTTGCTTATACTGCCACTTTCCCTAGTCTCTGTAGCTCCTAGGTTACGTATTGCATTTGTTTATTCCTCTAAGACCATGTGCTTTTATTATCACTTCTCATACTTCACTGCAATGTGGTTTAAATATCTTTTCTGCTTTTTTATTGGAGACAGGGTCTCAATCTGTCACCCAGGCTGGAGTGCAGTGGTATAATCATGTTTTACTGTAGTGTCCACCTGCTGGTTTTAAGTGATACTCCTGCCTCAGCCTCCTGAGCAACTAGGACCACAAGTGCATGCCACTATGCTCAGCTATTTTAATTTTTTTGTAGACATGAGGTCTTGCTATGTTGCCCAGGCTAATCTCTTTGCCTCAAGCAATCCTCTCACCTTGGCCTCCCAAAGTGCTGGGATTAAAGGTGTGAGCCACTCTGCCCAGACTGGTTTAAATATCTCTCTTCACCCTAGACTGTAAATGTAGAGCAAGGAATTTATCACTGTACCTCCAGTATCGAGGAAAGTGACTATTTTTAGGTATATATATAAAATTTTGTTTCTGTATAAGTAAAAATAATTTGTATTTTTGTATAAATAAAATGTCAGACAATAAAATGAAGTTATTTCATATGCTCGTATGCTTTACCAATACTATCAAAGCCCAGGAAAAAGGAAATATGATAAAGTAATGTAACACTCTTTTTTTTTGGAGATGGAGTCTTGCTCTGTCACCCAGGCTGGATGTGCAGTGGCATGATTTTGGCTCACTGTACCCTCCGCCTTCCAGGTTCAAGCAATTCTCTTGCCTCAGCCTCCCAAGTAGCTGGGATTACAAGCATACACCACCATCGTAGGTTAATTTTTTTGTATTTTGGTAGAGACGGGGTTTTACCATGTTGCCTAGGCTGGTCTTGAACTCCTGAGCTCAGGGCGTCTGTCCTGCCTCAGCTTCCCAAAGTGCTAGGATTACAGGTGTGAGTCACCGCACCCGGCTATGATCCTCTTTTTAACAAAAAATCTTGTTCTTTTACGCCATGGCTGCCCAGAGGCTTTGAGCTAAATATTATGCCTAACAGCAACATTTTCCCTTGGCTAATGTATAATCAGGCTCCTTATTCCCTGCTCATTGTCTCTTTTCCCAAGCTGTTTATGTTCTCTTTTTATTTATTTTATTATTTCTAGGTTTCTCTGAATTAATGTTTTTGTTGTTGCTATTACAGATTCTTTTTGGAATCAAGCAAGGAATACATATAAGACTGCCATATCGGCGGGGTGCGGTGGCTCAAGCCTGTAATCCCAGCACTTTGGGAGGCCGAGGCGGGTGGATCACGAGGTCAAGAGATCGAGACCATCCTGGTCAACGTGGCGAAACCCCGTCTCTACTAAAATACAAAAAAATTAGCTGGGCATGGTGGCGCATGCCTGTAATCCCAGCTACTCAGGAGGCTGAGGCAGGAGCATTGCCTGAACCCAGGAGGCGGAGGTTGCGGTGAGCCGAGATCGCGCCATTGCACTCCAGCCTGGGTAACAAGAGCGAAACTCCGTCTCAAAAAAAAAAAAAAGACTGCCATATCATGTCAGAGATGCTGTCACAATAAGCAATCATTAATATTCTTTTTTTTTTTTTTTTTTTTTTTTGAGACGGAGTTTCGCTCTTGTTTCCCAGGCTGGAGTGCAATGGCGCGATCTCGGCTCACCGCAACCTCCGCCTCCTGGGTTCAGGCAATTCTCCTGCCTCAGCCTCCTGAGTAGCTGGGATTACAGGCACGCGCCACCATGCCCAGCTAATTTTTTTGTATTTTAGTAGAGACGGGGTTTCGCCACGTTGACCAGGATGGTCTCGATCTCTTGACCTCGTGATCCACCCGCCTCGGCCTCCCAGCTAAGTTTTTGTATTTTTAGTAGAGACGGGGTTTCACCATGTTGACCAGGATGGTCTCGATCTGTTGACATTGTGATCCACCCGCCTCGGCCTCCCAAAGTGCTGGGATTACAGGCGTGAGCCACCGTGCCAGGCCTAATATTCTATTTTTACTACTTACATATTTTTATTTTGGTATGTAAGAGAGATACCCCACAAAAGTAATCTGAATTAAACTTTTCATTTAAACTTCCTCTGCGACTTTATGTTGAATCAGACTCTGTATTAGATAACTGTAAATTATTTATCATGAATGAATGGAGGCAATTCACCCTAATATTTAAACAGACTCTGGATTTACATAAATCTGAGTTCACGTCCTGATTACATGTGCATTTAGGCATTAAATGAGAGAATTTGGGAAAATTCATTTAAAATAGTTTTCTTTTCTGTATAATGTGAATACAATACATGCCTTAATAGAATTATGGTGAGAATTTAGAGGGACAATGTGTATAAAGCATGTAGCAAAGTGCTTGGCACACAAATAATACTCTATATATGCTGACAAAATGTATTAACAGAAAGTTTAGAATTTGTTATAAAAATTTTCATAATTCAGAGACCACCTAAAACTTAAAAAAAGTGTTAATAGCTTACCTCAACTTTTTTATTCAAATCTTTACATTCTTGCACTAAACAATCTTTGGTTCCATAGAATAAGTAAACTGCCTATGAAAAACAGACAGAAAATATGTTATTAAAACAATTTAACCCTTTAAACATTAAGAAAAAAACACTATCAAAGCTCCCTGATAAGAATGCTGAACGAAGCACATTTTCCTTATAGTGGACTAGATGCTGATGAAAAGAAGGGCAACCAAAAGGGATACTTTTGGTGTGCAACCTCTGGTCCTATCCAACACCTCCATTCTAGTAATTTTAAAGGGTAAAATTGGAACCCATGAGGAACAGCAATGGAAATACATAATTGAAAAACAATGTAAAAATGCCTGTAACATATTACAGATACTTTTGGCATCATTTGTCATTTTACATTTTATTCTCTTATGCTATTAATAGTTTAAAAGTTCTAGGTGAACTCTGGTACAGTAGATGAGATGTTACTCATCCTTCTTTTTGGAAGATGACAATATAGGCCATTCCATTTGGGTTTAATTAGCCTCTTTCTCAGGGGAAATGTGGGATAGAAGTGATTTTTTTCTAAATGGTGTTTTCTCCCAATTTATCAAAAATGTTGTATTTCATAAAGAAATATATTTGAATTAGAAAATTCCATTTTTTCTTAGTACTTCAGATTACTTAAGGACAGTAGAAATGCAGATTAATCCAGTAAACATTTTCTAATCACTTTTGAATACAGAAAGGTTGATATGAGCACTGAGATAAGTTAATTATCAACTGACTAAATAGCAATACTTATTACATTAGTAACTGTATTAATAAAAGGGAGTTATTTTAAAATTTGAAATACTTGTAAAACAGAACCAGGAATACAACTGCTTTGTATTTATTTTTGATATCCTGTTGGTCAATCATCAAATGTCATTAAAAAAATTCCTAAGCAAAACTCCATCAAAGGAATCAGCTGTACTGGAAACCAGAGATGACCTTAGTTCAAAGCTGTGGCAAACAAACTGCTCCTTTCTTTACCTCATCTGCCTTTTGCAGGTTTTTCAAACCAATGAAATCTTTTCCATTAATGACTTTATCAAAAATTTATTCTGCCTAAAATTTTCTTCCGATTTTAGCTGCCATTTAAGATAAGCTATCACATATTCCATTTAGTTCCTATCTAAGCAAAATATGCTATAAAACATCCCAAATTTGAATTAAAAAATTTATGTTAGAGTTATAAAATACATTGATAAAGTTTTTTTGTTTTTTGAGATGGAGTTTCATTCTGTTGCCCAGGCTGGAATGCAGTGGTGTGATCTCAGCTCTATGCAACCTTTGCCTCCCAGTTTCAAGGGATTCTCCTGCCTCAGCCTCCCGAGTGGCTGGGATTACAGGTACCTGCCACCACACCTGGCTAATTTTGTATTTTTAGTAAAGACAGGGTTTCACCATGATGGCCAGGCTGGTCTCGAACTCCTGATCTCAAGTGATCCACCTGCCTCTGCCTCCCAAAGTGCTAAAATTACAGGCATGAGCCACTGTGCCCAGCCTGATAAAATACATTTAAAGATCTGATTAATAAAAAAAGATCTGATTTGACAGTCCTACACAAAACAGAGCAGGTAAATATTTCTGTAAGTTAGTTCAATCTGAATCTAAGAGTGCTAAATATAATTGAACTATTGATTTTTACTGTACCTTCGATGATAAGCAGGAAATGTTATTTTATCCAACACACCTTATTAAGAATTCTGCTAGAAAACAGAGATGGTGCCTTCTCACGATGGGCATGAAAATTGAGAGCCATGAGAGCATCAGGTCCAACAGAAAAATAGTTGTTCATTGTGAATTCCTGTGAGAAAGGGTAAGAATAAGCAAGGTTAGGCTTAGGTTCTACCTAAGCCTGAGTCATAATTCAATGTCAATCTTAGTCTTGTGTGGTTATGTTGTACTGTCTGGTGAAGTTACCAGAAATAAAGCTTCCGTTCAAGGCTGATAAATACGGATGTAAATTTCATCTTTCACTTCTGTTTTATATGCTACATCTCACACCTTACCATCTACAATGGCTCTACTTGATGCTTCCAGGCTTTTCACGCCTATGTTCCCATTACATTTGCTTTTCACATTTATCACAACTTCCAAGCTCTCAGCTTCTATTAGTCCTAACCCAGGCTACTGGTCTCCCCTTAATTTATCTTACTTCCCAAAGTGGCCTGGATTCCAAGGTCAATCATTTCAATGACTGTACTCAACACCATCCTTTGCTCCAACACCCTTTTACCTCTTCTCATCTTAGCCTTACTTGTTAATCTTCTCTAAGTCAAACTGTTTTCTCTGTTCTGCTTCCAGGTTGCTGGACACTGTAGGTAAGAATCTTATAATTATGATCCTGTTACAAAGTTATTTCCAGGGATGGCTGGCCACAATCCCTAATAGGGCACAGTAAAGCTATAGATGACTCATTTCCTCTGTTTCCTAGTGGTTTATTTAAAAACTTGCAACTCGCTTCAAATCCCTGATAACCAGCCCCTGCTTGCCTTTGTTATGTTCAGATGATCTTTATGCTTGCCTCAGTGAAAAAAGTGAGATCAGGTAGGAATTCTTATGCTTTCTGCCACCTAAAAATTCTGACTTTCGCTCTTCATCCTTTTAATGTTAAGTCTAAATTTGGTCACCTGCTCTTTTCATCCTTTCCCATTCATCTCTTATGGAACTGTGAGTCACTAAATGTCTGTCTCTTCACTGCCAAAATATAATTTTCAATCCTAGTTGTTTACAAAAAACCCCGTAAACATCTTATTTTAAGTAAAATATGTCAATGTACATTAATTTGTCTTCATTTTTTAACTGAATTTCACCCCCCGCCCCCGTTTCCTAGGGGTCCTTTATTCAGAAACTGAGAGTAGGACAACATAAGCTTCATGAAGGCAAGGCCTTTGTCACTGAAACTCCAGCACCTAGGACAGTGCCTGGAACCAGGTGGGCACAAAATACTTGGAATATATAGAGAAATGAAGTTCCCTCTTGTATTTGATTGTTTGGATGTTCTTCTATAGAGTTAAGGAGACCCTACTTGATTGTAGTATATTTATTTTTAATGACATATCTTATTTAATGATAGCAAATGGCTGAGAATATGTCTTCTTATTTGAATCATCTTGGTGGTGTCAAACTTTGTCCATCTTTCTTCGGAGGAATGATCTCTGATTAACAAATATTTTTAAATACTCAGCTCTGCTTTATTATGGAGTAGTAATACATCCTGGTATGAGTGAGAAATATATCATTTATTTTTTTGCATATCCATCACCTCAAATATTATCATTTATTTGTGGTGAGAACATTTAAAATCCTCTCTTTTAGGCTGAGCATGGTGGTTCATGCTTGTAATCCCAGCACTTTGGGAGGCTGAGGTAGGATGATTGCTTGACCCAAGGAGTATGACATCAGCCTGGGCAACATAGGAAAATCCTGTCTCTACTGAAAATAATAAAAAGAAAATGAGCGGGGTGTGGTGGCATATGCCTTTAGTCCCAGTTACTAGTGAGGCTAAGATTGGAGGATCACTTGAGCCCAAGAGGTATAGGCTGCAGTGAGCTGTGATCATGCCACTGAACTCTAGCTTGGTCAACGGAATGAGAACCTGTCTCAAAAAAAAAAAACGAAAAAAACTTCTCTTTTAGCAATTTGAATATATACATTATTACTGACTATAGTCACCAAGCTGTACAATAGTAGAACTTATTCTTCCTATCTAACTAAAACTCTGTACCTATTAACCAGTGTCTCCCCTTTATCCAACTACTCTCCTACCCTCTACAGCTTCTGGTAACCACAATTCTCCTGAATTTGATTTTTTAGATTCCACATATAAGGGACATCATACAGTATTTGTCTCTCTGTGCCTGGCTTATTTATTTAACATAATGTCCTCTAGGTTCAGCTACATTGCTGAGAATGACAGATTTTCTTTTTTCTTAAAGTCTGACTAGTTTTCCATTGTGTATATATGGCATATTTAAAAAATCATTCATTCACTGATGGGCACTTAGGTTATTTCTGCATCTTGGCTATTGTACATAATGCTGCAATGAACATGGGAACACGGACATCTGTTTGATATAATTATTTCAATTCCTTTGGATATGTATCTATAAATAGGATTGCTGGAACATACGGTAATTCTAGTTTTAGGTTTTTGAGGAACCTCCATATTGTTTCCCAAAACTGTTGTACTAATTAACAATACCAACAGTGTACAAGGATTCTCTCTTCTCCACATCTTTGCCAACACTTGTTATTACTGACCAATGAAATAGGATAGGAAACCCCAAAATACATACACATATCTATGGCCAACTGATTTCTGACAAAGGTGCTGAGAACACACAAGAGGGAAAGGACAGTCTCATCAATAAATGGTACTGAGAAAGCTGGATAGCCACATGTAGAACAATGAAAATCAACCATTATCTCACCCCTTATAAAGAATCAACTCAAAATGGATTAAAGACTTAAATGTACAACCTGAAACTACAAAAGTACTAAAACATAAGGAGAAAGCTTCATGACATTGGCCTGGGCAGTTATTTTTTTGATATGACCCCCAAAACACAGGCAATAAAAGTAAAAATAGACAAAATGGATTGTATCACACTAAAAAGATTCTACACATCAAAGGAAAACAATAGAGCAAAGTGAAGAGGCAACCCACAGCTTAGAAGAAAATATCTGCAAATCATATACTCAATCAGGAATTCAAAAGGTAGAAGGAACTCAAGCTACTCAATAACAACCAATAACCCTATTAAAAAATGGGCAAAGGACTTGAAGAGACATTTCTCAAAACACATAAAAATGGCCAACATATAGAGGTTCAGCATTCCTAAAATGAAAATCTGAAATCTGAAATGTTCCCAAATCTGAAACCTTTTGAGCACTGACATGACACTCAAAGGAAATGCTCATGGGAGCATTTTGGATTTCAGCTTTTCAGATTAGAAATGCTCAATGGGTACATATTCTGCAAATACTCCAAAATAAAAAATCAGAAATCTGAAATACTTCTGGTCCCAACCATTTTTTTTGGATAAGGGATATTCAACCTGTATATGAAAAAATGCTGAACATTTCTAATCATCAGAGAATTGCTAATGAAAACCACAATGAGCTATCACTTCATACCTGTAAGATTGGCTACTATCAAAAAGACTGGCTACTATCAACATCTTTAATGTTGGCATTTCAGGCACTATGATAACTGGCAAATACTTTTGAGCACAGGAACAATTTTAAATGATCTCTTAATACTTTCTCTAATCTATTTTTTTATGTTCAATTTTTTTTTTTTTTTTTTTGAGACAATATCTGTCACCCAGGCTGGAGCACAGTGGTGTGAGGCTCACAGCAACCTCTGCCTCCCAGGTCCAAGCAATTTTCCTGCCTCAGCCTCTTGAGTAGCTGGGATTACATGTGCCCACCACCACGCCAGGCTAATTTGTCTCAAACTCCTGACCTCAGGTGATCCACCCACCTCGGCCTCCCAAAGTTCTGTGATTACAGGCATGACCCATGATGCCTGGCCATTTCTTGATTTTTAAATTTTAAACATTACTTGCTGTATTCTTCTTCTTTTTAGAGATGGAGTTTCATCTGCACTTTCTCACCCAGGCTGGAGTGCAGTGGCATGATGATAGCTCACTACAGCCTTGAACTCTTGGGCTCAAGCAATCTCCTTGCCTCAGCCTCCCAAGTTACTGGGACTACAGGTGTGTGCCTCCACGTCCAGTTCCTTTGGTGTCTTCAACTGTACTTTCCAATCGGATACTGAATTTTAGCTTATAAGAGCCTTTTTTGGGGTGTGTGTTTCTGAATGTTTCTTTTATAGAACACTATTCTATTAATATTTTCATTTTTCTCTGAGAACATTAGTCCTGTTCCCTGAATTGCTGGACTGTGTTTCCTACAGTTCTTTCTTTTGGTTTCTTTGGGGCTCTCTCACAGTAGACGCTTTCCTTAAATGCTTGTTTGTGCCTCCAATCCTTAACTGTGTATGTTCTTGTTTTAAGAATAAGGTATAAAAGGCCAACTGTGAACTTTGCATCCAAAAGCAGGTCTTGCTAGGGGATAAGCTTCATTATAGAACTACAGTGCAAAAATCTGGTCCTTTTGCTAAGGGACACCCAAATATCTTGGGCAAGTTAGCTTCCCCAGAGAGAAATCCTGTCACTATTCTTGAAGTTGAGTGGATGAAAAGGGCCAGTAATCTCACTTTTCATTAAATCTATTTTTGGTATGTCTTTAGCTGGCTAGAGTCTTATAGCTTAAACTTTCAAGAGTAAACCTCCAATCTACTACCTGAGTTGAGGAGGGTAGTAAATGACTACATGAAGCTGGGGAAAGGGGAAGTGATCTAAGGGACAAACAGCTTCTTCAGCTCACTCTTTCTATTTTCAGACACACTTTATACTACTGCTCTCTGAGTGATGTGGTGACCTGAATTCCTAAGCCTTTGCTTGCTTGGTTCTGCTCAATAAACTGGTTTCTTTCTTAGTTTTCTACAGTGTAGGTACTTTTCAGCTTTTTTAAATATGCTAACCTTCTTAGTTTTGGCTTCTTAAAGACTGCTGTGATCTCTTTGTCCTTAGGGTTTTGTGCCTTCTCAAAGATCTATACAAGATCTGTATCACCATTTTAGAGGGATTTTAGTGGTAAGGACACAAAGAAGCAGAGAAACATGCATCAGTGTTCCCCAAATGCTCTTATTTAAAGTCTGCATTATTTTGTTGTTTATCACCCACCTATTGCAGTTCTCTTTCTGTTTTCTCCTTATTTACTTACTACATTCTTTTTTTTTTTTTTTTTTTTTTTTTTGAGATGGAGTTTCGCTCTTGTTACCCAGGCTGGAGTGCAATGGCACGATCTCGGCTCACCGCAACCTCCGCCTCCTGGGTTCAGGCAATTCTCCTGCCTCAGCCTCCTGAGTAGCTGGGATTACAGGCACGTGCCACCATGCCCAGCTAATTTTTTGTATTTTTTTAATAGAGACGGGGTTTCACCATGTTGACCAGGATGGTCTCGATCTCTCGACCTTGTGATCCACCTCCCTCGGCCTCCCAAAGTGCTGGGATTACAGGCTTGAGCCACCGCGCTCGGCCCTTACTACATTCTTTAGTCTCCTTTCATGGCCTCTCAATTTGTATCATCTAAATATATCTATTTTCGAAATGTAGTTCCTATCTGGGCACAGTGGCTCATGCTTGTAATCCCAACATTTTGGAAGGCTGAGGTGGGAGGATTGCCTGGGCCTAGGAGTTCAAGTTCAGTCCGGGCAATATAGGGAGACAAAACAAAAACAAAACTATCTGGACACGGTGGTACATGCTGGTGGTCCCGGCTACTTGGGAGGCTGAGGTAGGAGAACCGCTTGGGCCCAGAGGTCAAGGCTGCAGTGAGCTGTGATCACAACACTGCACTCCACCCTGAGTGACAGAGCGAGACCCTATCTCCAAAAAAAAAATGTAGTTTTTGGCCCTCTTTTCCCCTTTTCCCCTCTCACTCCCTACATTCTCTCATGCATTCTCAGCATTTAAACAATTACCAGAAATAAAGCTTCAGTTCAAAGGCTGATAACTAGGGACTTGACTCTCACAACTTGGGTTACTCCCTTTGTCCCTACCCTGGTTTATTTTACTTCCTAACCCAGTCTGGATTCCTCAATTTGCATCTCTAGCTCTGTCTTTATTCCTGAGCAATAAGCCTGAACTTCCAACTTCTTGTTCAATACTTCAAAGACTTTTAGATTGATACGCCCAATATCTATCTTATTTTCTTCCCAGGCAAACCTGAAACTTGGTACTTTTCTTACAGTCATTTCCATATATCCAGTTATAAAAACTAGAAATTTAGTAGTAATATGTATGTTCTCTCTTCCCTTTATACTAATCAGTTGTCAAGTACTGATGAATTCTATCTCTAAAATGTCCTCATCCTGATTCTCCCTAGTGCAGGCTTTCATGCTATTTTCACATCATCTCCAGAGTATCTTTTAAAAGCATAGATCTGCTAGCTCTGTATTATTTGCTACTTGCTAACCATGCTTTGCACTCTCGCCTCTATTCCCTCTGCCTGGTTAAGTCCTTTGCTTTTTTAAGGACCAACTCCCATATCACTTTCTGTGAATCTTCTCAGCCTGATCAGCTATGACAGAACTAACCACACCTGCACCCTGTTCTCTACCATAACACATTTACAGTCCAGCTTGTGAGGTAAGCTTAGAAGTTTCTGTTCTGCTCTACAGCCAGCTCCACTGAGATAAGCACCAGGTCTCTGTATCTCACCACAGAGTGCCGAATCTTGTGCAGTGAAGCTGAAACTACTTCCAACAGAAGCACTAACAACATACCTTGGGTTTTCTTAAGTTGTAGTATCCTTTATTTGTTACTTGAACTTTCCATCTAAAAAACAGAAAACAAAACAAAACAAAACACCCAGCACTTTTTACAATAAACCTTGTACTCTGGATATTTGGATAAATGAGGGTTTTCTATTAAAATACCATCTAAAAGAGTAACCAAATGTATATAAGCATGCAAATTTAGGGATATGTACTCAGTATAACTTATTACTTTGACTCTTACATAATAAAACAAAACACCAGCATCTATGTGTAAGAACAACTAATAGAGTCTTTCATGTTTAAATTACATGCCACTTTTCATCTGGACAAGTCTTCATTTTAAATCAAACAATTATAACTAAATCTCAAGAAATCTACTTTTTGGAGAAATGTAACTTACCGATCTAGTTTAATTCCATCTGCTTCCATGACATTCCGTAAGACCTGTGCAACTGGAATTTCTCCAGCATAACCTGCACCCCAACCCAATGTATTGGATAGATCGTTGCCTGTTCCCAGAGGCAAGACTGCAACTTGTGGAATGTACTTTTCTTGTCCCTAGAATACGGAAGATATGTTTTAGATTTTTCTCTGCAGACTGTTTACTGGTTAATAACATTTTGTAAAATTAAATAAGATCAAAGCAGTAAAGATACACATATAACAACTGTTGGTTGTTTTGCTAAAGTTTGTGCTAAATGCTTAATCAAAACATCTCATTCTTAACTATTTGAAACTGGCAATGTGTAGTATTCATCTGCATAATAAAAAATATAAAGCAAAAATATTCTATATTAGGTTGGGCATGGTGGTTCATGCCTGTAAACCCAGCACTTTGGGATGCCTAGGTGGGAGGACTGCTTGAGCCCAAGAATTTGAGAGCTACCCAGGCAACATGGTGAAACCCTGTCCCTACAAAAAATACAAAAATTATCCAGGTGTGGTAGCGCACACCTATAGTCCCAGCAACTTTATAGGCTGAGGTGGAAGGATTGCTTGAACCTGAGAGACGGAGGTTGCAGTTAGCTGTGTTTGTGCCACTGCATTCCAGCTTGGGTGACAGTGCAAGACTGTATCTCAAAAATAAATAAATAAATAAAAATAAATAAATAAAATTAAAAAAATATGTGTATGTGTATATGTATATGTATAGTATATTTATCTCAGAAGTCATTCTGTAGTAGTTTTTAAAGACTAATACCTTAATCTTCATGTCATCAACTGCATCCAGGACCCAGCCCACAGTCCCATCCCCTCCACAAACAAGTACTCGAGCTGAATAATATGGAAGAAGAGTACAGAGTTGCAGGGCTTTGATAGGAGGAGTTTTAGTTACATCAAAAATCTAGAAACAAAAGAAAAGTTATTTTTATCCAACATTTTCCTTCATCTCTCAAGATGATTTTCCTCTAGATGAGTAGAGATATAGTTAAATAACACTACTGGCTACTACATATTTATCTTTAACAATAAGCCAGGCACAGTGCCAGACTCTTTCTATTTATTTTCTATTCATTGTAGCTCATCCCCACACTGACTCTATAGAGCAAGAGTTAGCCTCAGTCTGTTGAGCTGGAAACTGAGCTGCACGAAGGTTAAATCACTTGCCTGTGACTCTCCAGGTAATTAAGTGCTGAAATATAAATTCAGGCTGGGCGTGGTAGCTCACGCCTATAATCCTAGCACTTTGGGAGGCAAAGGTGGGTGGATCACTTGAGGTCAGGAGTTTGAGACTAGCCTGGCCAACATGGTGAAATCCTGTCTTTACTAAAAGTACAAAAATAAGCTGGGTATGGTAGTGTGCCCCTGTAATCCCAGCTACTGAGGAGGCTGAGATAGAAGAATCACTTGAACCTGGGAGGCGGAAGTTGCAGTGATCCAAGAGCATGCCACTGCACTCCAGTTTGACAGAGCAAGACTTTGTCTCAAAAAATAAAAAAATAGGCCGGGCGCAGTGGCTCAAGCCTGTAATCCCAGCACTTTGGGAGGCTGAGGCGGGTGGATCACGAGGTCAAGAGATCGAGACCATCCTGGTCAACATGGTGAAACCCCGTCTCTACTAAAAATACAAAAAATTAGCTGGGCATGGTGGCACGTGCCTGTAATCCCAGCTACTCAGGAGGCTGAGGCAGGAGAATTGCCTGAACCCAGGAGGCGGAGGTTGCGGTGAGCCAAGATCGCACCATTGCACTCCAGCCTGGGTAACAAGAGTGAAACTCCGTCTCAAAAAAAAAAAAAAAAATAATAATAATAAATAAAAAAAAAATAAAATTTATAGTTTATCTATTATACCACATTACCTCCTTCCTGTTCACATAAATCACAATGTGCTAAGTTCACCTTTAACTAGTGTTTCATATCTTATACTGGCTTAAAAAAAATCACCAGTGCAAGTTAGTACAAATTTCTGGAAAGCAATTTTGCAATACACAGAAAATGATGTAAAAATGCGAGTAACTTTGATAATCCATAATTCTGCCAATGATCCTAGAAAAAATATTTTGGAAGACAAAAATGCCCAAAAATATGTATAAAAATATTCACTGTGGCCGCGCGTGGTGACTCAAGCCTGTAATCCCAGCACTTTGGGAGGCCGAGGCGGGTGGATCACGAGGTCAACAGATCGAGACCATCCTGGTCAACATGGTGAAACCCCGTCTCTACTAAAAATACAAAAAAGTAGCTGGGCATGGTGGCGCGTGCCTGTAATCCCAGCTCTACTCAGGAGGCTGAGGCAGGAGAATTGCTTGAACCCGGGAGGCAGAGGTTGCGGTGAGCCGAGATTGCGCCATTGCACTCCAGCCTGGGTAACAAGAGCGAAACTCCATCTCAAAAAAAAAAAAAAAAAAAAAAAAATTCACTGTGGCATTACTTATAATACAATCATAGAGACAGTGTTACCCTACAACAATAGGAGACTGGATAAATAATCCATTCGATTATTCTAGTTGTTAAATATGTGATTATGAGGACTATGAAGAAACAAGGAAAAATATTTATGCCATTAAAGTTAAAAAAAATCAGAATGCAAATTTGTATTTAGATTATTGTTACAGTATTGTTAATATGCAAAGTAAATGCACAGATAATTAATGGAAAGAACAAGAAAAGAGAAAACCAATGTATTTGTATGGGGAAATTGCAAATGATTTTTTCCTTTATTTTTTATAATTTTCTTAAACTGTACAATATTGAAAGAGTAAAAAATACAAATTGGAAGGACAAAGTTACTGCATTTCCAATTGTTACACAATGGGTTGTTTAACTTTTCTTTTTTTAAATTAGTGGGGTTTCTTGTATTTTTTTTGTTTTGGGGTTAATTTTTCAAAGTTGCTAGTTGTACATTCAATCTTAACTATCCCTTTTATTTTTAAAACTGAGGTGTAATTTACATATAAGATTCACCCATTTGAAGTGAACAAGTCAATAATTTCTTTTTTTTTTGAGATGGAGTTTCGCTCTTGTTACCCAGGCTGGAGTGCAATGGCGCGATCTCGGCTCACCGCAACCTCCGTCTCCTGGGCTCAGGCAATTCTCCTGCCTCAGCCTCCTGAGTAGCTGGGATTACAGGCACGTGCCACCATGCCCAGCTAATTTTTTTGGATTTTTTAGTAGAGACAGGATTTCACCATGTTGACCAGGATGGTCTCGATCTCTTGACCTCATGATCCACCCGCCTTGGCCTCCCAAAGTGCTGGGATTACAGGCTTGAGCCACCGCGCCCGGCCACAAGTCAATAATTTTTAGTAAGTTCACTGAGTTGCACAACCACCACCATCATCCAGTTTAGAACATTTCTGTTGCTTCAATAAGATCCCTCAATGTCCATTTGCAGTCACTCCCCATTTCCAGCCCTAGCCTCAGGCAACCAATAATCTACGCTCTACCTCTACAGATTTGCCTTTTCTAGACAGGTCACATAAACGGAATCATACAATATAAAGTCTCTTGTATCTGTCTTCTTTCACTTAATATGTTTTTGAGGTTCTTTTATTGTAATATGTATCAATAGCTTGTTCCTTTTTGTCATTTAATAGTATTCCACTGTATCGATACATCACATTTTGTTTATCAACTCACCAACTGATGGACAGCTGGGCTGTTTATGCTTTCTGGCTATCATGAATAATTGCTGCTATGAACATTTTCATGCAAGTTTGTGAGAAATATGTTTCACTTCCCTTGGGTAGATTCCTAGTAGAGGAATTGCTAGGAGATGTAATAAATTTACGTTTAACTTTTTAAGAAACTGCCAAGATGTCTCCCAAAGAGGTTGTACCATTTTATATTCCCACCACAGGAGTTCCTGTTTCTCCACATATTTAATAGCTGATCTTTTTGTAATCATTATTCTTTCCTGTCATCAGGTGATTAGTGACTTAAAGCATTAATAACCACTGCATTTTACGGAAAATGGAAACATTAATTAAAAAAGGAAGTTTTTTTCTTTAGTTACCTGGACTGGATTCAACAAGATCCTAAATTCTCCCAACAGTCCTTCTCCCATGTTAGTTCCACTACGAGAGTTGGCCAGGATTATTAACGGGGTCCACTGCTTTCCAAGCTTAGAGGCTAGCTAAAAAAAAAATGCCATGAGGGAAAAGGGTTTAGTATCTCAGAGATGACGAGCACATTTTCCATGCCTTGATTACAATGGTGCTATAATTTGCTGAAATGAAAACAACTATACCAGTTCTTTCAATTCAATATAAAAATCAAAGAATTCTACGAATGGAAGGGAACCTTAGCAATTAACTAATTTACCTCTCATTCAATGTTTAATTCTCTTCTATATTATTCTAGATAAGTCACTCAGCATATGCTCAGAAACTCACACAAGGAACTTACTAATAATGCAGCCCATTACACTGCTACATCAAATTATTAGAAAGTTTGAACTTAAGCTGAGTTGAAAATACGTCCTTCCATAACTTTCAGCCATTCATAGAATAGACACTGGTTTTCTCTGATCTTTTACCTTGATTTTCCTTTAGTGGATATATTCTAGCATATTTTGCAAGCTTTTCCTTTTTTGAGATGGAGTTTCGTTCTTGTTGTCCAGGCTGGAATGTGATAGCACGATCTTGGGTCACTGCAATCTCTGCCTCCTGGGTTCAAGGGATTCTCCTGCCTCAGCCCCTCGAGTAGCTGGGATTACAGGCATGTGCCACTGTGCCGGCCTTTTTATTTCTTTTTTTAAAATGGAGTACTCAGATTAAAAAAAATCTGGATTTCTAATAGCTTAAAGTCAAATGAAATTACTAATGTTTTTCACAATGTAACCATTTCTTCTTCCCTTCTCCTTGCAGATGTAGCCATTAATGAAGTTATGTTGTGGTTTTACTTAGTGATTCTCCTCTCTTGTGATCTCAGATTAAACTCAGATAAATAAGAGACTTGTACATTTTAAAAAAGTGTCGGCTGGATGTGGTGGCTCATGCCTGTAATCCCAACACTTTGGGAGGCCAAGCTGGGTGGATCACTTGAGGTCTGAAGTTCGAGACCAGCCTGGCCAACATGGTGAAACCCCGTCTTTACTAAAAATACAAACGATAGCAGCGCGTGGTGGTGCATGCCTGTAACCCCAGCTACTCTGGAGGCTAAGGCAGGAGACTTGCTTGCACCCAAGAGGCACAGGTTGCAGTGACCCGTGACAGCACCACTGCACTCCAGCATGTGCAACAAGAGCAAAACTCTGTCTCAAAAAAAAAGTGTCAAAACAATATTAATGTTTGAAAATTTTAAAATGTTCCTTTTCTTGCAGGAATACTGACAAAGGTGACATTTAAGATATAAAATCTTAATTTGAAAATAAAATAGTTCAATTATTTTGGTATATCCAATTAGAAAATAAATCTATAAATTTAAGACTGAGAGATACGGCCGGGCACGGTGGCTCAAGCCTGTAATCCCAGCACTTTGGGAGGCCGAGGCGGGTGGATCATGAGGTCAACAGATCGAGACCATCCTGGTCAACATGGTGAAACCCTGTCTCTACTAAAAATACAAAAAATTAGCTGGGCATGGTGGCACGTGCCTGTAATCCCAGCTACTCAGGAGGCTGAGGCAGGAGAATTGCCTGAAGCCAGGAGGCGGAGGTTGCGGTGAGCCGAGATCGCGCCATTGCACTCCAGCCTGGGTAATAAGAGCGAAACTCTGTCTCAAAAAAAAAAAGACTGAGAGATACAGTAATAGTTACATCAACTATAAACGGTTGTCAACAAGTTCAATGTTCACCATTATTTGTGGGAACATTTATGTGCAAAGTAAACTTTAGGAACCCTGTATAAAGTTCCAAATAGAAAAGTATTTTTAGAATAAGGTGTGAAGACAATCTATTTTCTTTTCACTGACAATAATCATGAATCCCAAACCTGGCTGTTCATCAGAATCACTTGAGGACCTTAAAAAAAAAAAAAAAAAGATGAATTCCTGGACCTACCCTAGACCTACTAAATCAAACATGGCAATGAAAGTACTACTCAGAAATCTGTATTTTTAAAAAGCTCCCTAAATTATTCAGATACAGGCAATGATATAGAAACCACTAATACAACATTTCCAATTTCCTTTTAGACATGAAAGAACTCAAAAGCCCAAATTTTTGACCGATCTTTAGGAACTAGGTAGGGTTTTATGGCTTACCATAATGGCATTTTATTTCCCTCCTTGGTCTTGATATGCTGTTTATTTTACTCCTGGCACCGATTCTTCTTACATAGTCTTAACCATCTCAAACAATGACTTAAGCAGCTTTTTAAAAATCAATCTTATAAGAGAAATAAATTATACTTACCACTTCATAATCTGTTTTTTTGTCTTTACGCATCTGATTAATGGAGGTCAAATAACTTGGTGGAATGATTAGGTTTCTGAATTCTCCAAAATCACACTTTTCATTCCTTAAACTATGTTTCATGCACTCATCATGTACGGTCTTCTGGCACCAAATGCACCTGAGGGAAAGAAGAAATAAACATTAATTAATTTTAAACCATAATCTCATTGATAATCCACAAAACAATCATTTTTGCTAAAAACTAAAACATTAATTTTATCACTACTTACCATAAAATTTGGCAAATAAAGGATATATAACTCTATGTGCACAGTGAAATGGAGCGATAAGGTTTTTTTCTTTTTCTTTTTCTTTATATGCCCCAGGGTATACTAGTCAAGCTTTAGGAGCAATAAGGTTTGAACATATTTGGCAGTTTAATCTAACAGTATTTCCTTTTTTGTTTTTTTGAGACAGGGTCTCACTGTCACCCAGACTGGAGTGCAATGGTGTGATCTCAGCTCACTGCAACCTCCACTTCCCAGGCTCAAGCGATTCTCCTGCCTCAACTCCCGAGTAGCTGGGATTACAGGTATGCACCACTACTGCCCGGCTAATTTTTGTATTCTTGGTAGAGATGGGGTTTCACTATGTTGGCCAGGCTGGTCTTGAATGCCAGACCTCAAATGAGCCACCCACCTCGGCCTCCCAAAGTGCTGGGATTGCAGGTGTGAGCCACTGTGACCAGCCTGACAGCATTTCTTAAAGTGTAGCTTGGGGCCCCAAGATCCATTCAGGACCCCAAGATCTGTGAGGTTAAAATTTTAATACTAGTACTAAAGAGTTACCTCACCCTCATCCTCTCAAAAATGTACAGTGGAGTTTTCCAGAAGCTTTATGACATGTGCTATGACAAAAGAAGCAAATATGATAATCTAGTTGGATTATAAGTGAAAGAAATGTGCAAAAAATTAAAACAATGTAACTCTCCTCACTAAATTTTCATAAAAATAATTTATTTTTAAAAAATATTTAAAAAATTTTTTGGTTTTAATTTATGACATGGTAAATATCAATAGATATAACCTACAGAAACAAAAGCTGATCTAAAACAATAGCTTTATATATATTTGTGCTCTGGCTGAAATGTAGGTTCATAAGGCCTAAAGTCCTTGCTTTTTAAATGTCCCACTGACACGGGCCCTTGAAGAGTTCCTCAGGGTCCAGCTTGAAAATCTCTTAACTTGTAAATATAAGTACAACAGTGTGTTTTGTCAGTTAATACGAAAATAATTCACGTTTGCTTTTGAAATAGACATTAAGAACATTTTCATTTGGATTTGCCTCTATGTTTGGATCCAATTCTTAAAACAAGCTGAGAACAGACCTAGTTAAGGTCCTGGGTTTCTATTATTAATCTGCTAAGTATTTAATCTACTCTCGGATAAGACAGATATGACTGGACAGATAAAGCAGGCCACTAGAAAAGAGTGGTTATAATTAAATAAATAATAATAAAAAAAAGAGGATAAACATTTTTTTCATCCCGAGGTCCTCTCTTGGCCTTCTATTTTAAGCTGTCTCTTCCTTTTGGATGTTCAGATTTGTCAAATACTTAGTACTGTTTACTTGAGTACTATTTCCTGCTAAAAGAAAGAGTTCTCTGCATAAACTGTTACAGAGAAAACAAAAATAATTTGTATAATCACAGTTGTTGATTGTAAACTAAACTTGAGTAAGTGTAATACACTGGTTATGTGGCTAAGGTATCATATCTCTACTTACTGGTCTACCATTAACTTTAAAATAGTATATTACCATCAAAAGCAATCAGAAAGGATACCCACTGAATTATTTCATAATGGTTTCCTCCAAGAAGAAAAATAGGACTGAGGAATGGGAAGGATATTAACTTTTCAGCCTACATATTTTTTTGTATGTATTCCTTGACAGCCTAAAAACCAGAATATATTCATGAACTACTTGTATAAATTTTAAAAATTGTTTTAAATGATACTAGCTTATGCTTGAGATACCTGAGCGAAGAGTGAGACTGTCTCAAACAAACAAAACAAACAAACAAATCCCTGCATTAATCTACCCAGAATTAATCTGATATATTATGAAGAATTAACCTTCCCTCCTTCCCCAAAGAGTACATGTCCTAGCAAAATTCACAAATTAATATTTTCTATCCCCAATAAATTTGTGACAGAACATTTACCATTTACTAAATTCTTATAAATTTCAAAAAAGATTTTTTTTTTTTGAGACAAGAGTTTTGCTCTTGTTGCCCAGGCTGGAGTGCAATGACATGATCTCCGCTCACCACAACCCCTGCCTCCCAGGTTCAAGTGATTCTCCTGCCTCAGCCTCCTGAGTAGCTGGGATTACAGGTATGGGCCACCACACCTGGCTAATTTTGTATTTTTAGCAGAGATAGGGTTTTTCCATGTTGGTCAGGCTAGTCTCGAACTCCTGACCTCAGGTTATCTGCCCGTCTCTGCCTCCCAAAGTGCTGGGATTACAGATGTAAGCCACCACACTCGGCCCAGAAGATTATTTTAACCAAGATAATATCTATTATGAGCCTTTGCTCTATAAAGGTAAAGCTAAAATGCTTACTAGGGCCACCAGGTATGGTGGCTTATGCCTGTAATCCCAGAACTTCGGGAGGCCAAGACAGGATGATCCCTTGAGCCCAGGAGTTTTGAGACCAGCCTGGGCAACATGATGATACTCCCATCTCTACAAAAAAGAAAAAAACTGCCAGGCATGGTGGCACATGTCTGTAGTCCCAGCTACTTGGAAGGCTGAGGTGAAAGGATTGCTTGAACCTGGGAGGCTGACACTGCAGCGAGCCATAATCATGCCACTGCCTTCCAGCCTGGGCAGTATAGAGTAAGACCTTGTCTGAAATAAAATAAAATAAAATAAAATGTTTATTAATTACTCACCATCACATTCTTCTTTAGAAATACCATATTCAAACCTGAAGCCTAGTCTCTTTACATATTTTTTTTTCCCCCAAGATGGAGTCTCGCTCTGCTGCCCAGGCTGGAGTGCAATGGTATGATCTCGGCTCACTGCAATCTCCGCCTCCTGGGGTCAAATCATTCTCCTGCCTCAGCCTCCCGAGTAGCTGGGATTACAGGTGTCTGCCACCATGCCCTGCTAAGTTTTGTATTTTTAGTAGAGATGGGGTTTCACCAGGTTGGCCAGGCTGGTCTTGAACTCCTGGCCTCATGATCTGCCTACCTTGGCCTCCCAGTGCTGGGATTACAGGCGTGAGCCATCATGCCCAGCCACATACATTGTCAGCATTTAATAACCTAGATTTCTTTTTTTTTTTTTTTTTGAGACAGAGTTTCGCTCTTGTTACCCAGGCTGGAGTGCAATGGCACGATCAATAACCTAGATTTCAAACTCACTGGGAAGATAAGACATTACTAAAATATCTAGGTATTTCAGCTTTAGCATCATGTCACTGGGAAATTGCTTATGATCTTTCTATTCTGAAAAATTTCAAACTTTCAGAGAAGTCAAAAGGATAGCAAAACGAATACTCTAAGCCCACCTTCACACTGATTCTTAATTAACATCTTCTCCCACTGTCTTTCAATATAAACTCATGTATTACTGAATCATTTGAAAGTAAACTGCCGACAGCATGAGATCCCACCCTTCAATATTTCAGCAAATATATTCTAAAAGCAATAATAGTTTCCTTGCTTTTTAAAATACTTTACTCAAAAAATATTTTTTACAGGTATGCCTACCATGCACATTCTTCTGTTAACATCTTACTGTAATTGCTTTGTCACGTTTCTATCCATCCATTAACCCATCTTATTTTTAATATGTTTCCAAGTAAACTGAAGATATTAGAATACTTCCTAAACACATCAGCAAATAGGCTTATCACTATCTATAATTTGTAATTTATGTTTTTTCCTTCTGAGTAAAATTTACATACAATGAAATATATAAATATATGTACTTCCTGAATTTTGATAAATGAACGTATGTAACTAAAACCCTTATCAAGACATAGAATATTACTCTAGAAAGTTTCTTCATATGAAAATATGGAATGATTCACAAATTTATATGCCAATCTTATGCAGGAGTATGACTGCTTTATTTAAAAAAAAAAAAAAAAAAGGTTTAACAAGGCTAATTTTCTCTAAAAAATTACCTGTTCACAATAGCTCTCTTCTTTAGTGTGCTGGAGGCAGCTAATTATACATAAAGTTGAGATGGTCATTTATGAGAGTCACACTAGAACAGTGTTCCGCAAACTGCAAACATGCCTGCCATCTGACTTTGTGAATGAAGTTTTACTGGAATACAGGTAAACCCACTCATTTATGTATTGTCCATGGCTGGTTTTGTACTGCAACTAGGGCAGAGTTAAGTAATTATGACAGACAAAATGGTTGGGAAAGCCTAAAATTCTTTTGGCTCTTTATAGTAAGTTTGCCCGCCTTTGCTGTAGAAGATGATTTGGTATCTTTCACTGTTTCAGATAATTAATGAAATGAATAAACACATACCAACAGAATATAGAAACAAAATTCATGATCAAAGCTGAGACTAATTACACTGAGGCCCATCTAACTGCCTTCTGAGAGTCAGCAGCTTTGTTTTACTAAGCACAGTATTTATGTGTGGGGCGTGGGGTGGATGTAATGAATGGAAGGTCCTATAAATTAAAAAACACTTTAAGTTCTTTCTCTCTTAATGAGATAAAACACTACAAGAAACAGAGGTTCATTTGATAAATATAATGATGTAAAAATATAACCTAATTCCTATTTTAGTCAGAAGAGAGGTAAGAAGCAGAAAAGGAAGAACAGGGAAATGAGACAGTAGATGCAGAAATACATTGTAGTGGTTGGGGGTAGAAACAGGAACACACAAAAAGAAAAAATCTACAGGCAAAGTAGACTCTAACATAGTGTCTAGTACAAAAATAGATGCTCAGTAAGTATAATGCCTGAATGAGTAAAAATTAAAGGGCCTTTCTCACTTATTCTGCAGGCTTTAAACTCAGTTATCATCTCTCATTAGTGTCCTTTGAAATGCTAACTTGTCTGCAGAGTTCACTCACTTCCCTAAGAATGTGATGCAGACATGGAAGAAGCCCTCCTCAAAGACAGATAAAATCCAGAGGAGGACTGTCTGGTCTATAGTTAAAGATTTTAAGTAGCTATTTATTTTGTTTTTCCTTCCAAAATATCTCATTCCTATGGAAGGTCACGGGAGACTGTAACCCTGTATAAAATTATTTGCCAACATAAATCAGTTCAGAACATTGTATGTACAACTTCAGGACACTGTGCTCTCTTCTCTTGGGAATAATAAACATCTAAATTACACAGAGACAATTTCTATTACGGGGTAAAGGGTACTTAGGAAAAGAAGACCTATTATCATAAACATTCAGTGTGCTCAATGGGAGGACACAAAATTAAGGACAAAGGTGCATGTTTTTAAAGACACATAAATATAGCAGGGGTTTTCCATCTTTAGGAGGACCTGTAGGGCCTGTTAAAACCAAGACTGCTGATGTCTAGCCCAAGCTTCTGGTTTAGTAAGTTTGGGGTGTGGCTAGGGTTGCCAGGAAAAAAAGAAAAAAAAAGACAATGCCTAGCTAAATCTGAATTTCAGAGAAACAAGAAATATTGCAATATTTTATTTTTATTTGCTAAATCTGGCAACCCTAGAGTTAGCATTTTTAACAGATTTTGGAGATGCTGATGCTGCTGGTCTAGGGACCTTACTTTGAGAACCATTGAGAGACAGGATATTATGTTATCACCAAGAAGGAAAAACTGGGGGATGAGGGAAGGTGAGTAGATCAGGCAAGAGTTCCTGGGGGAAAGGACAAGGACAAGGGGTGAGTCTTTAAGGATGTCTAGAAGCTAGCAAGGATATTAAGAGAGGAAAGCTTTGAGCAAAAGGGCAGAAATGTCAGAAAATGCCTGACATTTAAAGGAAATCACAAGAAGCTTGGTGGTGTTGGTGCATAAAGCTTCATGCAGGTGGTGTTAGGTAAGACTAGAAGGGCAGAGTCCAGAGAGTACTAGGACCTTAGGTACCCTGTTAAGCACTGAGGGGATTTATACTGTAAAACAATCAGCTTACATGATGGGGAGCAATTTAAAGAGTTTTAAGCAGAGCAGGGACTTGATCAGATTTGTATTTTTAGAAAGATCATTTGGGTGGAGGATCAGAAGCACTATGATTATGTGTTCAGGAGTATTTGAAATACAGTTATTTATGGAAACCATTTTTAATCTAATTCTGCACAGACACAGAGACCGCTGGAGGCTGGCTACACCAGAGAAGGGAAGGAAATAGAACAATACTCAATTCATTACGAAATTTATTTAAAGTCCCTGTTAACTTGGTTCTCACTGATGCCAGAAGGACAGCATTTAATTTTTAAAGATGCCAAATAAAAATGCATGGTTACAAAACTCTGTAGTTGTCTAGAATATATTATTTTGAACATTTATTCTTAAGCCTCTTTGATAATGTGTACAATAATTTAAAAGAAGACTTAAAAACAGGTATTGACATAATATAGCACTCATGCTAACGAGTTTCTGCCAAAAAACTAAAAAAAAAAAATTAAAAGCAGCTTCCTATTTACTGCCTATTTCAGCTCGTAAGCATGTATATGGGCCCTTCTACTTGTCAGAAAACTCATTGCAATGATATCTGCACTTACCGCTCAAAGGAAGCTAGGTGTGCTCAAGGGAAGCTAGGTGTTAGTCCGGAGCTGGAAATCCTGGAGACCCGTCCTAGCTTACCAGAGTAGACCTAACGAGCTTTAATTTTCTCAACTGTGAACTGAGTTGAATGGATCATTTGCAAAGCAGCATTCTCCTTTACCAATCTCCAAAATCAGCAAAGGACATCGTCACCTATTTTCAGACAATATTTTTAAGGACGAAAATGTGTTGTCCAATGTGTATATAAAAGACATTAAAATATTGTTGGCTTAAGCCGGGCGCGGTGGCTCACGCCTGTAATCCCAGCACTTTGGGAGGCCGAGGCGGGTGGATCACGAGGTCAAGAGATGGAGACCATCCTGGTCAACATGGTGAAACCCCGTCTCTACTAAAAATACAAAAAAATTAGCTGGGCATGGAGGCGCGTGCCTGTAATCCCAGCTACTCAGGAGGCTGAGGCAGGAGAATTGCCTGAACCCAGGAGGCGGAGGTTGCGGTGAGCCGAGATCGCGCCATTGCACTCCAGCCTGGGTAATAAGAGCGAAACTCCGTCTCAAACAAAAACAAACAAACAAACAAAAAATATTGTTGGCTTAATCAAGGTCACTTATCTAAGATTCTACATGTCCTGAAAGACCAAGCATCAAAAGGAATATTCCTTTCAGTGTTCTTTTTGAGTCTATTTCACTATGGTAGCAACACCTATATTAGCAAAAGATATAAAAGTGCTGCCTTGGAATGACACTTGTTTTCACTGTACATTCATAGTACAAAACCTGTGACACATCAGTTTTGTGGCTGAAGGGAAAAGTTAATTTGTCCATATGTCCTTTTTCCTTATTTAAAATAAGATAATCGATAGGAACAAAAGCTAAAATATACGTGGCCACGAAGCAGGTGCCACTTAGGAACCTCTGCACTGACGTTAGGAGCCAAGTTTTATTACCCAAAAGGGCAGGCTGGCTGAGGAGTGGAGGCCGGACGCATCATCTCAGCAAATGACCACTGCAAAGCTGCCTTGGTTGCAAAAACCCAGGGACGTTTATTTACTAGCTTGTTTCCTTGAAATGCGTTTAGGCCATCTGCAGAGATTAAAGCAGGCCTCGACACCACTCTATGAAATCCTGACTCCCATGGCGCATTCTGGGAGGCCCTACCTGTAATCGCAGAGCTTGGGTTGGCTGCCACACTGCTGCTTGCAAACCATACAGTAACTGCACAGGGGCACGTTGCCCCGGATCCAGTGGTGGGGCATGGCGTCCAGGACCTTGCTGTCATTCTTGAGCATAATCTCCTTGCACTGGAAGCGCTTGTCGGCCTTCTTGAGGCAGTCCTCATCCACACGGAGCCCGCAGCAGTCGCAGAAGGCGCCCTGCAGAATGTGCTGCGCGCACACGCAGCAGTAGGTGGGCTGGCTGAACAGATCCGTGTCGCGCCACCCGTGCTTGCTCTTGCGGAAGATGTCCCTGCGGTGCAGCTGCCGGCGCGACCGCTGGAGGCTACACCAGAAGGTGATGAACACCGGCAGCAGGACCGAGCACAGCGTCCATAGGATCAGGTGCCCGTCCGCAAACAGGCCCTCGGAGGGCGGGCCCGGCGCCGGCCGCCTCTCCGCTTCCATCTTCTCCAAGGACGGTGCCTAACCAGGAAAGAAACAGGCGCCTGCACCCCGTGCTCCCCATCCCTTCCCCGCCCCCTTCCTGCCTTTCCGGGGCCAACGCGGGCGCCCTCAGTCCAGGTGGCTCCGCTCTCCCCAGGACGGGCCAGCGCGTCGTCCCCCGGTCGCCCGGGACCTGCCGCGCCGAGAAGGCGACGTCCCCACTCCCCAACCCGCCCCACGTCGGGAGCGCGTCCGGGAGCCCAAGACTGCGACTGCTGCCGCTGCCGCCGCCGCCTCACCTCGCCGCCCGTCAGACCCACGGAAGGGCGCAACACCCAGGGGCAAGCTGCTCTCCACCGAAAAGCCTGGCGTTCAGGCCACGCGACGCCGGCCGGCGCCCGTAACCGTCGGCCCGGGCCTAGCACTCCCCGCCCGGGCGCCCAGCCGCTCCGGGCCCGGGGCGCGGTCTTTTCCCCGGCCCTGCCCGCCCCCACGCGCGGCCCGGCGCCCTTGCCCCTCTCGGGAGGTCTCCGCAGACCTGCACCGCGCCGGTCCTCGAGCCCCTACCTCGCGCGGGCGGAGGCGCGGCTCCCGGCCAGGCCTCAGCAGCCCTCGCGCAGGAGGAGCGCGACGCTGGGCCGCGGGCGGCGACGAAGCCGGGCGGGGTGAACGCTTGAGGCTTGAGCCGCAAGCACGCCGATGCGGCGCGCGGGCCTATGAGCTGGAGGCGGGGCCTGCGGCGGCGAGCCCAGTGGTTGGGCGGAGCCAGGGCTGACGGGCGGGGCAGAGGTGTGAGGTGGGAGGGGAGACAGACAGCCTTGAGGGGGCGGGGCCGGAGACAGATGGAAGGGGCGGGGCACTGCGGATGAGGGCGGGGCTTGGAGGAAGGGGGCGGAGCAACAGTGGGGCGTTAGAGAGGATGGAGGGTTGAACGCCAAAAATTCGTTATCATAGAAAATTCTGGGGCGGCGACGGTGGGGAGGGCCGCGAGCATCCTCCCGGCCGCACCCGAGCCTCGCGGGGTCCAGGGGTCGCGCCCACGCCCTTCGCACGGCGCGGACACCAGTGCTCCGGGCTTAAGCCGAACCTCTTGCCTAGGCCGCGGCCACCTGAGAAGCCGACGCCGACTGGAAAGCACAGGAAGCGGCGGCCTGCGCGGCGCCGCCCGCCATAGCCGCGGCAGGCTGAAGTAGATGCGGCGGCCGCAGTAGCTCAGACCCTAGCGCTTCTCCGCCGCGGGCAGGCGGGCTGGCGCGGAGGCCGAGGCGGAGCGGGGCCGCAGCCCGCGGGTCTCCGCTGACCCGGAGTCCTGCCGCAGTTTCCGCCCCCTGCCGTGGCGGGCGGTCCTCCCCTCCACGCCTCCGCCGCCCGCGCCCGCCAGCGCCCGGAGCGAGAAAGGGGAGCAGCGGGAGCCAGGGGCCGCCGGAGATGGGAGCATGCCTCGTGCTGCTGTTGTCCCGCCCCCGGCTCCGGAGGCAAGCCCGCTCCCGGACTTAGCCGCGACCACGCGGGCTGCGGGCTACAGCCTGCAACAGGTTAACGACCCGGAGAACGCGGACGGGTAAGCACCGCCGTTCAGCACCCCGAAGAATCACGGAGTCCAGAGGGCACAGGCACCACACCCCAGCACGCACAGCTCCACCCAGCTCCACTCCGCGGCTTCCTTTCTACCACATACACAGGAAGAGGAGCCGGGGACCACTTGATCCTTGAAGACTTCCTCCAGCAGCAAGGATGGAAAGAAAACCCACACCAAAGCAAGGGGCCAAAGAAACAGAAAAGAAATGCATAGATTATAGGAAAACTGCAAAGAAATACCTGATAATGTCTTCCAAAGGATTAGGAAAGACATAGCATTCATTAAGAACACCCATATAGCCGGGCGCGGTGGCTCAAGCCTGTAATCCCAGCACTTTGGGAGGCTGAGGCGGGTGGATCACGAGGTCGAGAGATCGAGACCATCCTGGTCAACATGGTGAAACCCCGTCTCTACTAAAAATACAAAAAACTAGCTGGGCATGGTGGCTCGTGCCTGTAATCCCAGCTACTTAGGAGGCTGAGGCAGGAGAATTGCCTGAGCCCAGGAGGCGGAGGTTGTGGTGAGCCAAGATCACGCCATTGCACTCCAGCCTGGGTAACAAGAGCGAAACTCCGTCTCAAAAAAAAAAAAAAAAAAAAAAAAAAAAGAACACCCATATAGATAGATGTAGATATGTGTGTGTATGTACGTGTTGTTACCTGTGCGTGTATATGCATATGTATGTCGGCATATGGGTATTAACTGTAGAAGGTAAAGCTAGACACTAGTAAAAGTGGTAAGAGCAGATTTTAATAATATACTGTTGGAATAGGGAAGAAGGTACTTCGTGAACGGAATTGAACTTTGTGCAAAAGTGATTGGGTGTTTTCAGAGGGAGAGAGTAGCAGTATGGAGGGGATGAGCAGGCACTCAGTAGCCAGGAAAGTGAAAACTTGCGAAAGTTGGGTCAGTGTAAGTAAGGTTAGGCTACCGCGCCTGTTAGGTGGCTGTTACGGGAGTTAGGGTCCTATCCTCCCACAGGAACTGAGAGATAGACCCTGTGCTTCCTGGTGATTGCATGTTGGAGGAATGACTTTCAGGTTCTTGAGAAGGACACGCCTGGTGTGTAGGAGACATTGCATCCCAAAGAGACAGAGGAAAGATTCACAATTGTTTAGTTTGTTGTTAACTGTGAGAAAGGGACATCAGGGGCTGGTTGTCACGTATTGCCAATAGCTAGCAGCAGCTTTCCCAGGCAGACACTTTAGGAGGTGTGCGGTTATGCAGCTTTGAGTTGTTAGAAACGACGTGTTTAAGTCTTTTAATATAGGGGGAAGGACGGACCCGATCCTTTTTGCTGTAATCAGCAGATTTCGTAGGCCAAGGTGGAGGCCTAGTTGAGAAGGGGGCTCAGGGAAGCCTGTCTAGAGCTTGGTCAAGGAGGGGATCTTCATCAGTCTGTATGTATATACATGGCACGTGGACATGCATACACACGTGAATGGTGGAGGCTGTGTTATGAGGATTCTGCACAACTCAAGTGTCCTAATGGGAACAGACTTGGGGAGCTCACTCTTGAGACATTTTGTGGTATTATGGATACTGGGAGACCCGAGGAGGGTTCTGGCCACTAGCAGACTCATTGCATTCACCCTTTGGAATCTGCCCAGGCCTTGGACTTACTCTGTGTAATAGTAACTTCACTTCCCACTGATCCTCCATGTTCCTTGCTGATGCTGTGATTGCCCCTCCAAGTCCTCCAGCATCCCTGCTGATGCTGTGGTTGTCCATCTGAGCACTTGGTATTTCTTTTCTGGTGTCAGAAGGTCCTGGTCCCAAGTCTCCTCCCATTCATTCCAGTTTATCCAGATGCCCCTCCTTTCCCGTCCCTCTCTGTTCCAGCGAAGTGTACCACCCCTCAGGGAGATGCTCACAGTGGACTCCTCGTCCTCATACTGACTTCCCTTTTCTCTGGCACCCCCGCAGGACCCAGTGAGTCTCTTGGTCTCTGGCTGCAGCACTCCATCCCGCCTCCACTACTTTTTAGGTTCAGCTGTCACCGTTTCTCACTCTTGAATCATTGTCATAGCCTCCCACCTGGTCTCCCTGTTTTACCCTGTTCCCTGCAGGCTGCCTCTGGACTTCTTTACTGAAACTCTTACTGTGGTGAGAACCCTTCCATCCTCAGACCCCTGGTACCCTTTACTCACTTCCCACTGTGGCCATCGTTCACTGAATTCAGGCCACTCTGGCCTCTGTATGGTCCTCACACCTCCAGACTCATGCACCATTCAGGCCTATTACCAGTTCCACTTCCTCTTCCTGTAGAGTTCTTCCCCATGTCCTCACTGCTCAGGTGCTCCCTCCTGACAGAGGCCCTGCTGACCAACCCTGCCAAGACTGTCCCCACTCTCACATGCATTACTCCCACTCCTTCTCGCTTTTTCTCCATAAAACTAGCACCTCCTCACATGCTGTGTCTTCTACTTACATTGTTTAGTATCTGCCTTTCCTCCCCAAAATGAGAGCAATATGAAGACAAGGACATTTGCTGTCTCCAACCAAAGCACTTTTTTTTTTTTTTTTGAGACAGAGTCTTACTCTGTCACCCAGGCTGGAGTGCAATGGCACCATATTGGCTCACTGCAAACTTCACCACCCAGGTTCAAGCAATTCTCCTGTCTCAGCCTCCAGAATAGCTAGGATTACAGGTGCCCGCCACCACACCCAGCTAATTTTTGTATTTTTAGTAGAGATAGGGTTTCACCATTTGCCAGGCTGGTCTTGAACTGCTGATCTCAGGTGATTCACCTGCTTCAGCCTCCCAAAGTGCTGGGATTACAGGTATGAGCCACTGTGCCTGGCCAAACCAAAGCATGTCTGCTACTGCTGTCCCTGTCATTGATCTGTGTGACTTCCCCTCTACTGCAGTTACTCAAAATGTCACTTGCTGCTTCCCTTCCATCAGGATAACACCCATCTGTGCCCACTGACTAATGAGGGGACATGACTGGTGTTTACGTACACTAACTGTGGGAACCTTGGTTTAATTTTGTGAGAGAGAAGTCCCTTACAGCCTCCTCAGCTTTCCACTGAGAAATGTTTTCAGTGATTTTGAGAGGACATGGGGAAAAGTGATGTGGGGCTCCCAAGGGGATTTCTTCCTAGAAATCTCTTCCTATAGTACTCTTGTAGTGAAAGAAAACCATCTTCATGTAACTTGTCAATTTTGTTTTTTGAAAAATGTTTATCCACTATTTGAATCTAAAAAATAATAGAAATTTATGTTTAAACATTCTCTTTTACTTTATCCCAAAATAAATCTCTCTTTGCATAAAATTTTTCAACAAATACATACTCAGGCCAAAAAATGATGCTTTAAATTATGACTTACAACTGTTGGGAATATAACTCTAGAAAAAATATTGCTATTGAGTACTGAAAGTCTTTATTGGTAAACGAAATCTATTTTCAAAGTATAATACAATAATTGTATAGAGGATAAAATAGAAATTGTTCACCTAGGAGATTAATATATAAATATTTACAGAGCATTGTCTTGAGAAATGCAGTTTGATGATGTTTCAGTTTGAGCAAAAGATGAGGCTTTCAAGTATGGCATTTCTTTGACTGGTAATGAGAGAGAATCCACACTTTCTTGGTGTGCTTCAGGTTCTCCTGTATTCTTTAGATTTGGAGGAGTTGACCATGAAGGAGCTGCCCGTAGTGTCAGCAGGCGAAGGTGGAAACTTCAATCCAGGAAGGGGCTCCCCTGGATCCACTGGCGTCAACGTGGGAGAACATAGCCTGGCAGCTCTGGAGGCCTGAGTGGAGGGGAAAGAACAGCGCTGTCCTATGACCCAGGCCCCTCCTGGGGAAGGGAGCAGCAGGGCTGGCTCTTGGCTGCCTGGCAGGTGTGGAAAAGCTCCTTGACATGGGTGACTCCCATGACCTCTTCCACGGACTCCGGCATTGATAATATTTCTGCCAGCTCTTCTTGTTGCTTGGAGAGTCTGGATCTTTCTTCTGCCTTTTTTCTTTTCTTCTTCTAATTTTTTATTTTTTTAAATCTCTCTCAGTTCTTGAACCAGGGATGTGATTTTCTTTTTTTTCTTTTCCCTTCCCTCCCTTACCTCCCTTCTTCTCCCCTCCCCGCCTCATCTTCCCTCCCTTCCCCGCCCTCGTCTCCCCTCCTCTCGCTTCCTCTC